GGGGGACTCGCAGGCTTTGGGACTCCTCACTGCACAGCTGCTGCCCCAGGTCAGTCACACTATACCTACATATCCCCTCCCCCAACCTACTTTCTGGGAGGTTGGATGGAGTGAGACATCTGTGTAGATAGGGAAAATGTTCAAGGTTTGACACCAGGATGCTGCTTATTTTCAATTTTTGTAGCCTTACTTATGCTTCCCTTAAAAAAAAAAAAAAGAAAAAGGAAGTGTCTCTCGGTGTTCCTAAATGGTCACCCTCCCAAGTACTGACCGGGCTCAATATTGTTTAACTTCGGTAATCAGATGAGAACTGATGTTTCAAAAAAAAAATTGTGTGTATCTCTCTTTTTCTTATTCTTTTTTATCTCCACACAATCATATTAGGGTATCAAGCTTGTAGAGCTTGTTGAAGATACCTGCTGGGGAGGAGTGTATCAATAATCCTTTATTAGGATATAGTACAATGTTACCTTATATTCTTTGTTAGGTTCACCAAACAATGTTGAAAAATACAGTAGAACCTTAATGAGATCACACCTCTCTACGGGGGTCGGTGGAAGGCTGGTTAAACCGTTTGGTTTACGACCACTACGACCCGGGTTCGATCCCCGCATTGGACACTTTTTTTCTGTTAAAAAAAAATGCTCCAATGGCCCCTCCCCGATTCTTGCAAAAGTTCAACCCCACCAGCGAGTGCAAGTAACCAAACGGGGCTCTGGCACATTTGTAAGTGCAAAGTCGAACTGCTTTCACATGTGTAAACATGTGGTGCGCTTACAGTAAAAGCAGTCGCTAACTACCCACCATGATTAGCATGGCCTGTACCACGTGTACTAGGGATAAGCAAAAAAAAAAACCACCTCTCTACAAAGGACAGTTTTCATCACCATTTTTACTAATTAGCAGCTCTCCAGTAAGATAATCAACTCTCTCTAAAGGACACTTTGGCTCTTTAAAATAGGTGTTGTCCTTTACCTAGAGTTATTTCAACTGTACTATTTAATTACCAATGTTAGTGGGGTTTATTTATTTATTTTTTGCTTATCCCTAGTACACATGGTACAGGCCATGGTAATCATGGTGGGTAGAAGTAGGCGACTGCTTTTACTGTAAGTACACCACATGTCTACACATGTGAAAAGCAGTTCGACATTACACTTTCAAATGTGCCAGAGCCCCGTTTGGTTACTTGCACTTGCTGGTGGGGTTGGACTTTTGCAAGAATCAGGGGCCATTGGAGAATATTTTTTTTTTAATCAGAAAAAAGTGCTCAATGTGGGAATCGAACTCGGGTCGTAGCGGTCGAAAACCAACGGTTTAGACCATCCTTCCACTGACCCCCAAGTGGTTTAGTAGTGGCCTTGTTATAATAATATGTCTTAATGGAGGGCAATGAGCAGAGCATTCTACCAGTGATGAAGGCAGTGTGATGTGTGGTATGGCAGATCCCAGCCATCCCCCTCTACCTCTCCCCCAGAAGAAAGCTCTCTCTCCGCTACCTGGGGAAACAGGATTGCCAGAGCCAAGTCCTCTCTTACTTCCACTTCTTTGTCTTCAGGGAGGTGGTCAGCAACCCCCTGCTGGTGTTTGACCCCGGGGCCTCTCCCTACCTGGTGCTGGTGGTGCCCCTCCTGGATGGTGGGTTGTCTCTTGTGGTAATTGGGGACTGGTTTGTACAGTAAGTATCCTGGGGGATGGTGGTCTGGCCTGGATGTTGAGGAGCTTGATGAACACTTGTATGTTGGATACATTCAAACACAGGCCCAGTTACTTGTTCCTTTTGAGACCATAATTAATTTAACACACACATATATATTGTAGAACAACATTTGAAAATTATCCCGCATGTGTTTCTTTTGAACGAAAAATCAAAATTTATTTTATGGAGAAATAACGATTATTTCTAACCTTATTTCATTTTATAATTTTATAATACCGTATTAATCGTTATTTCTCCTTAAAATAAATTTTGATTTTTCGTTCAAAAGAAACACATGCGGGATAATTTTCAATGTCGTTCTACAATCATAAACCGCATTATATTGTATAACACATATATATGTTCTATAAAAATATTTTATTTTAAATTATAATTTCATAGATAAAAATACTCTGTTAAATCGACCGCCAGAGGTCATGCTTCCCCTATAAAAACTCGTTGTTGTTCTTTCCCAATGGCCGGCTCAAAACTTTTGTACATTATGTGAATAATCTTTTGTTTTCCTTATTCTACTCGCCTTAAGCCAGGCATTACTTTTACCAAATTATGTCTTTTTTATATATCCCTTTAACTCAATTAAATTACTGATCAAAATTATTTTTCATCATCATACTTTAAGGATTTCAACCACGACTGCATTACCATACCATAATCCTCAACATGATCTAAATTCAAGCAGAAAATCTCTTTTCTATTTATAACATATATATATCACAAAGTTTCTGAAATCATATGACCAGCGGCACCAGTCTGCAGTCAAATACTTGTCTAAAGATGGTAACAACGCTGTTACCGAAACGTCACACACTATTTATTTGGATTTGGTCTTATTACCTTGTGTTTATAATCTAAATTGTATCTTATAATTTTTGATGCAGTCCATGATGGGGTTACAGGTTGGGAGAGATTTGTTTTAAAACATTTTAGAGGTGTGTGGTATTTGGTAATTTCTATAACCCTCTCTCCAAACAGGTGACCATTGTTTGACAGCTCTGTGTAAGGTTGAAGACAACTAACTGATTAGAAGGATCTGAACAATGTTGCCTGTAAGGAGTTAGGAGACTCTTGGAGCTACCAAAAGTCCCAATTATCAGTACAGTCAGGTCAGTTCCCTGGCAGACTCTCTGGCAAAGGCCGGAGCTCTTGGCCTACCTGAAGCAAGAGAATCTACCACCCAACTAGACGAAAGAGACCTCCTCCGTACCATCAAAACCCAATGCCTGCAGGAATGGAAATCAAATGCTGCACATGACTGGTACAGAGCAGGAGGGACAAGCACCGGTTCTGTCCTCCCAAGAGAACAACAGTCTTTGATTTCCAGACTTAAGTCTGGTTATCTACGGACAATGACTTTCCAGAATGGTTGCAGGGTTTTCCCACTATGTACTAAGTGCAATTCTCAGCCTGCAACCCCAAGACATATTATTGACTGTATTGACTCATCCATTGATGAGCTCTACTCCTCCCCGGCAGACACCATCAAAAATCTCAAGCTTTACAAGCTTGATACCTTAGTGTGATTGAGTGGAGATAAGAAAGAAGAAGAAGAGTCCCCAGTGAGAAAATTGGCTACAGAGACCCAGCCAAGTTATGATGAATTCTTTCTACCCAAACCTATTTAGTGTTTTTTACTTTATAATTTATATGACCTCCACAAACTGAATAGGCAAACATTCAAAATGTTTTGCAAAAATGATAAAAATACAATTTAACAATTAGTTGACAAGGCACAATTTGGATTATAGATTATAAACAACAATAAGACCAAATAAATAGTGTGTGATGTTTTGGTAACAATGCTGTTACCGAAACATCACACACACTATTTATTTATTAGGATTTGGTCTTATTACCTTGTGGTTAACAATTAGTTGTAATATACTGGAAATTGGTTAGGTTAAAGAGAGTATTTTAAATCCAAATATATAGGCTTTACTAGTGTTTTATTACAAGAGGTGTGGTACACCTGGTACAGACATGATAATCATGGTGGGTAGTAGCTACTACTTTGCTTCCTACATTAGCTAAGTTAGCTTACTATATACACCACATTTATATAATCCAAATTGGATTCAAATCTTGTGTGGAAGAGAAAAAATATATTAAAATAATTAAAAAGGCATATATTGGATCAAATATCATTTATTTTACCAATATTTCAGTTGTCTGAATGCCAACCTTTATCAAGGTATTATATCATATTAATATGCACATTAATATGATATAATACCTTGATAAAGGTTGGCATTCAGACAACTGAAATATTGGTAAAATAAATGATATTTTGATCCAATATATACCTTTTTAATTAAGGATTTATTTATGGATTGCTCTATTTTCAAAAAAAGATATTATAATATATAAAGTTTAAATAAGGCTTTGTTAATTGGAACTGAGCCTCCTCAGCAAGTCTCACTGTCTGCAGTGGAACTTCACCAACTTGGATAAGAGATCTAATATCCCATTTTGTTTTAATCACGATTATAACAACATAATATTGTCAGAGACTTGTTAATTTGATTATTCTCTTCTTTGACTTTCTTTAAGACAACTATGCAAATTTATCTATTAGAATTTGCACAACTATTGCCAACTTTTAAATAAATATACAGTTGAACCTGTCTATAGCGCCCCCTCTTGGGACTCACCAAAATAGGGTGTTATAGAGAGGGGGTGCTATAGACAGGTCACTTTTAATGTAAATCGTACTACGTTAAAATCAGCCGCTATAGAGAGGAAGGCGCTATTTAGAGGGGGCACTATAAACAGGTTTAACTGTATATAGCAGCGTGGTAGATATTTTGAGTTGTAAAATTAAATTCTATTTGTAAATAAACATTAATTAATCTTGAGCAGTTTCTCATCCTCATTGCTGTGACAAGTGTTGTAGTGAGTGTGTGACTCTAGGGGATGTGTGACAGATGAGATAGACTGGAGTCTGGTCCACTCCCTCCACAACCCCTGGGAGACCCCCACTACAGATATGGAGAGGTTCCAGGGGTCCGTGGTGTCCAGAGTCTACAAGGACTCCACCAGGAAATACTTCTCAGTCTCCAGGGTGGAGACTGGACTCAGCCCACTCAGTCCATTCCCGGACCCCGCCTACTCCACCTACCAGGACTACTACCTGAGGAGGTACCGGGTGAAGCTGGCTGACCTCCACCAGCCCTTGCTGGAGGTGGAGCCACTGGGCAGTCCCAACATGGCCGTCCCTCCCCCACCCATTCACTTCCTAAGGAAGCTCAGAGCCCCCACCAAACCCCACCTGGTGCCTGAACTCTGTCGGATACACCCCCTGCCCGGGCGGCTGTGGAGGCAGTTGGTATGTCTGCCCTCCTTCTTGTTCCGTCTCAACTCCCTCCTCCTAGCTACCAGACTGAGGTTGGATGTGGAGGTCTCGGGGACAATGGAGGATGGCAGCAGTCCCCCACTGGAGACCCACTACATCTACCCGGAGAGTAGAGACTGCAGGATCTACTTTGATCACCACCCACCCATCAGCCACGGTCCCTCAGCCACCTTGTTGCTGCATGCCTTGACCACGGGGAGTGCTGGGGACATCTTCAACCTGGACTGTCTGCAGACCATCGGGGACACCTTCCTCAAGTTCACCACC